TCTACTTTGATCTCTTGGATCCCTATTCTCAGGGAATCCAGCTGCCACCATGCGAAGGCACTCAGTCTTGTAGAGAGGCCCACCTGGGGAAGAACTGAGACTTCGTAGCAATAAGTAGTCTGATGTGGCAGCCTTATGAGTGAACCACCATGGAGGGGGGAACCTCTAGTTCCCATGAAGCCATCAGATAACTGAATGCCAGTTGAAATCTTGACTGCAATTTCCTAAGGCTCAAATCAGAACCATGAGCTAAGCTGTTTCCAAAATTCTGATGCACATTTTTGGAGGTAATTTTTAGTTTTGCAGGAGTAGACAAATAATATTAGATTTAGCTAACATTCTCTAAATGGTGAAAAATAACAAGGGATTTTCTGTCTCCCTTTCCCCCCAACTTTTCTGGTCACCTAAAGGAGAAGTGAGGAAAATGCTACTTAGCTATAATTTTCTTCAAGCATTATCACAGGTTGAATCATCAGAGAAATCAGACTTGTCTTAATCAAATGGCCTCTAAGTCCTAACTAGACAGATGGAGACTGTCAAACAGGAAATTCAACTGCTCAGCCAGTTTATGAAAATTTCTGTTAATACAAAATTATAAAGATCATTTCAGGGAAATTATAACATGTCTGAATGCTCATTGTGGTTACAACAGTTTGTGAGGGATATGCAAACTAGTGTCCCCCAAAGGTGAATCAGTATTCCAAGTGATCTGGAAACTATTCTTTAGAATGGTTAAAAGATCTAGGGCTGTTTAGTCTGGAGAAGATGTAGAGAATATTTAATCCATTTTAAGGGCTGGGGTATGGAATTAGAGTAAGGGATATTTGAGATTGAGCAAGAGGAGAAAAGTGGCCTAATGATAAATTTAAGAATGTAGATATTAATTCAGTTATAACAGCCATGGCTGTTATAGGTCAATATAGGTCATGTTGTAAAAGAAAACTATGGTACTTCCTTTTCTGGAAGGATCTAAAGCCACCACTGGCTGATTGCTCATCAGATATGTGGTAAGAGTGATTCTGGTAGTACCTGGAAAAGTAATCTAGATGATCTCTAAAATGTTGTTCCCAAAAAACTTTTTCTCTTGAAAATGTCTTGTTATACATGAATATCTTAAATAGGACAGTTCAGTGTAGTAGAAAGAGTATATTATAGTGGAATCAGAACTCTCTTTGAAAATCACCAGCTGTGTGATTTGGGGCAAGACATAGCCTTTTTGAGCTTCACTGTTCTCACTACGTCCCATGGCTGTTCTAAGAATTCATTAGATGGCACCATTCAAATAACCCATTTGGCATTTAATGTATGTGTGGTTTTCTTCCTTCTATTTCTATGATATGGTTCATAATCAAACATCTGTGACCAATTAAGATTTTGAAAGTGCAGTGTTAAAATGAGCTAATTTTCCTCAGTTTCAAATGTAGCAGTAAAAAAAGAAAACAATAAACTTGATTAAGATTTGATTGGATGCTTTGTGACATAGCATCATTTTTTTTTTTTTAAGACAAGCATGGTGAAAGTAGAAATAAGGAATCAGAAGTTAGATGGGCAACCTCTTTGAATTTTACAGTTGCAAGATCATCACTTAACTAGTCTTTCCTCACAAGAGAGCTATCAAAAAGAATCATAAAAAATGCCATAAACTGTATTATTAAATATCATACAAGTATCTTATCTTGCCGGAAGACATTCTAAATTTCAGTAAGACAAGCTTAGTAACAAACACGTTACTGTCTTTAAATTTTAAAGAGAAACCGGAATATCAGAGTCAATATATATTTTCCCCACCTCTTCCTTCTAACCCAAAGATGAAAATAATTGGAAGTAAATAAACATTCCACAAATACTGGAAATTAATTTCGGTGACTTAATAATTTTCTTTAAATTTCTATTTTACTTTGTTAACAGGGAGAGCTAACCCCTGGGCAGAAATCACCCTAAATTACTAAACTAGCTACTAAGATGTGTACTGAATAAATAATATTGTTAAAGTACATTTGGTATTAACATTCACAAATACTTTACTATCTATTATCATTATACTCCTAAGCATTCTCATTAAAGGCTGTCTCTAACATACGATAATTGAGCTGTGCCATGGGTAATTCTTATCTGCAACATTAGAGCACTAAATAGGCAGTTCAATCCCCCCGGAATCCCCCACACAGGCAGCTCAATGTTCATAGTCACCTCTAAGTAACTGGTATTTTGCATTCTCAATACTATTTTTCCTACCCCAAATTTCAAATCAAATAGTACCCATATTCTCGGTTTACCATTTCATACATTGCTATATACATCCCTATACAGCACAAATTGCATCATATTTACATACTGTTTTTACTGTGACTATGCTCTACAGCATCAGACTGTTGACTCTGGTGGTTGTAAATTTTTAAAAATTGTGATAGTACATTATCTTTATAACTACATTTTAATTTCTTGAATGACCACTCTATTTTTAAATGTTTTTTTTTTCCCCCATGCTAGCGAACCACTGCTGGACTCGGCTTTAAATGGTGCTTATCACAGTAAAATGCACATTGCATAATATTAATAATTATTAATGCCAAGTGAGATGCCAGGATTCCTGGAAGTATTCCTGGAAGTCTGAGCTGCAGCTTTTGGTTATGTTGTTTGTGGGGACTTCTTGGTTTAAACAGGAAGTTGACAAAAAAAGAAGTATTAGGATAGACAGCTTAGGCCTCATATGGTGGCAAAATGATGCCATAAAGGATCCAGCCTCTTTTAATTTTTCTGCTTTGCCATTTTTGGGCAAGTAGGCCTTTGTTCTGCTTGTTGCTTCATGACAAAACTATGGCTGTAAACCCTCTGGCATGACATTCCTCCAAAATGACAGGTGTAGATCAAGGATGAGCCCTAGACGGCAGAATTTAATCATGTTTTTCTGGAAGCCCTAGTAGCAACTTCAGCTTTCATCTTATTACCTAGAATGTTCTCAAAACATTCTTTACTATCAATAATGGTCCTAGATATAAGGGAGTCTGGAAAAGTATTTTTACCTAGAATTAAAGCTCTATAAAGATGAACAGATATTAGGTGGACAAAAAGGTCTGCTACAGAAACCCTGAGTCTAGCAAGCTGTCATTCCATGCCAGATAATAAAGGGGGGCTTCACTCTAACTTCAGAAGAGCGTTGAGAAGGTATGACTAAAATATGGTCGACGTCTTATCACAAAGAAGGAAATGAGAAGTGTGTTAGGGATTCTGCTGCAGTAGTTGGTGAGAGGAAAAATTTCCTCGTGGTTAACTAGCCAGGGGTAGCTCTAAACCCTTCTCTTTCAGAGAGGGAAACAGATCAGTCCCTCAAGGCCCCCAATATTATCTCTAGCATTCTCCAGTAATTGGAAGCCTGGAGCTGTGAAAACGCACGTTTAACTTACTTTACTGATGCCTAAACCCGTGCAGAAAAATGGAAAACAAGTCAGTTTTGGGCACTGGACTTAACTTTTGCGTTTCTATGTCTCAGCTTTTATAAAACAGAAAAATAACGACGCCATTCCTCATCTCCCTCTCTAACACACAGTAGGTGCTCGGCAAACACTTGTCAGTTTTTGAGACAATGAAGATGATGCGGGAATTGTCAGGCCTAGTCTCCCAGCCAGGATCGGATTTCAGGCAGCAGGGCAGCGCTGAGCCACAGCCCTAGACCCCACACGGGTTGGTGTCTCACCAAGCCGCAGCAGGAACTTCGCAGACGCTCAGGTAAGCAAGGAGAAGAGGCAGGGCAGGTTTGTTTAGAAAAAGTTTATTGAGAAGAAAAAGAACAGAAATAAAGTGGGACTCCCAGGCCAGGGAACCAGGCCTGGGAGGGGCAAGGAAGCCAAAGTGAAGTCGTGTCTCAGGGAATATATACTTTCTTTCCCTGATTATTCTAAAGCTCTACCAGTCTATTTGTGATTGGTCAGTTTTTGGCTGTCTCACTTAATTTGCTACTGAGTGGGAGATCTTCACATTCCTTAACTAACAGGTCTGTCTTTCCCCATTTGTTATATCTTTATCTTTATGGTCTAGCCCTCCCGGTGAGCATCTTTACACTTTATCTTATCATCTGAAGAAAACCAGGACCATCCTTAACAAGATTATCTGTGGTGCTGGGATGTTTGTTTTTCCCAGTGGAATTGGTTTCATTTCCTTGCTCGTCCTTATCTCTGAAGCCTTCCTGAATTCTTCAAAGGTCCCCTCTTGCACTGTCCTAAAACTGCCTAATAACCCTAGCTTGCCCTGTCTCAAAGAGAACATTTGAGGGCCCGCCTTAGGCCACTGCTGTGTCAGAGGCTGCACTGGATGCTCCTTTCCTCATCAGCACTCAGCTGGGTGGGCATTACCGTTCACATTTGGAGAAGTAAACGCAGGCTCGCAAGGTTGGCCAGAGTCACAGGGAAGTAGCCCGACCTCACGTTTAACCGAGACCTCTTCGCGCGGGCTACTCCGCGGCCTCTCCTCCACCAGAGCTGCTGGGCACCGTGCTCTATAATCGACGCAACAAATTTCGAGATGTTTGAGTATCAGGAAAGACACTAACTTTTGCAGAGAAAAACCACTTCCAAGTCTTCCGGATGTGGTTAAGACAGGATGCGCTAGTAGCAGTTAGGCCAGAGAGCGGCTGGTGACCGAAGCCGAGCGAAGGGTCAGGCCAGACGCGCTCGGACGCGCCCAGGGCACCTCGGGCCGCTCAGGAACCCTGAGCTGGGTGTCCCGGGACCGCCTGGGCGCGGCGGGCTGGCTGCCGCGGGGCCGGCCCGGCCGCGCCGCGCGTGACGCACTTCCGCCCCGCGCCTTCCGGCTTCCGTGGGGACCCAGACCCTCCCCACAACAAAACCTGCGCGCTGTCGGCTGGGCGCTGGTCTCCGCCCTCCTGCCACCTGCCGCCGCCCCCGCCCACGCCCCGGCCGCGCCCGGTCCGGCGCTGCCCGGCGCTGCTCAAGGGTCAGGCGGAGATCCGCCGGGCCCGTTGGCAAACTTCTCTCGCCGACACCGCTCCGCCTCGCGAGACCCGGGGCCGGGCCGTGGCCGCAGACGAGCAGCAGGAAGGGAGCGGCCGCCGCGGAGGACGCCCGGCCGACTGTGTGCCGGCGGCCCTGCTCGGGTCCCGCGGCCTTGTCTCAGGTATCCCTGCCCCGTCTGGCCGCGCCGAGGACCCGGCCCGGCCCCGGCTCTCCTGGCCGGGCGGTCGCGTAGGGGCCTTGTTGCGTTTCAAGTTGGGGGTCGCGGCGGGGGCGGGGCGGTGGCCGGGGCTGTGGCCGGGGCTATAGCTCCTCACCCCACGGTCCCTCCCTTCTCATCTCTTTCTCTCTGTCTCCCCCCGCCTCCCTTCGCAGTACGGAGCCTGTCACATTCCGGACCTGGCGGGGAAAGCTGCACCCACGGCCGGGCCCCCGACCCCTTCTGCCTTGGCCACTGGCCGTCCATGGTACCGGCAATGGCCTTCGCATCGCCGGATGCACTTGTGACTGATCGGGACGTGGAATATTAAGAACCCAGTCGCTTCCGACCCCATCCCAGTCGCGCCGGCAGTAACCACCTCGGCTCAGTTGGGCTTAACTGCTGCTCCGTTTGACTCTGTCCGACTTTGGGGGCACCATGGACCAAAGTGGGATGGAGATTCCTGTGACCCTCATCATTAAAGCACCGAATCAGAAATACAGTGACCAGACTATTAGCTGCTTCTTGAACTGGACCGTGGGGAAACTAAAAACGCATCTATCTAACGTGTACCCTAGCAAACCAGTAAGTGTGTCTGAAAGCTGGGCGCCACTGCTCTGGTCAGCAGCTTTTCGTGTCATATACTCCCCTTCTCGCTGCTCATCCCCTCCTCTTCTTGAATCAAGAAGGTCTTTTTTTTTTTTTTTTGGTAGACTGCCAAGTATTTTGAGTTCGAGGTTCTGAGGTCCTGTGTGTCTCTCGAGTCGCCGAACCATCATTATCTTCCTGATGAGGTTCAGTTAATTAGTAAGATTATCCAGAAATATCAGGGGACATACGAATTGACAGGCATAAAGAGAGACTATTTTCCTTGAACTTAAAGTCTTCAACTTGAATTGGGAATGATGCGGCCTAAAAAAAAGAATCGTTCACGTAAAAGCTGCTATTGCTTCTTTATTAGACTAAAATTTTACATTCTACACGTCGCCCAGAAATTTGCCCCCTTGGAGCAATTTTTTTTCCTTGGAAATGTGACACCACTAAAAGTTATGCTTTCAAGGCAAGCATATGCTTTAAGAAGCAAAGAGTTACATGTTGTAGATTCATTTTCTTCTGTCCCTTTCCCTCATTTTTTCTTGTAGAGGACACAAAATTTCATTAATGTAGAACTCTTTCTACACTCTCCACCATCTTTTTATTCCTTTTATATATGGCCATATGTAAGACAGTGTGGCAGTGTTTTTCATTCTGAAATGACTCTGGATATTGCAGAGATAATAAATAAAATACAGACAAACAGTACAGCTCCATCTGTCCCCAAAGTCAGATTTGAAAGGACTCAGTTGATAATTAAGAAGTCTTAGAATACTTTAGAAAAGTGTAATGTCATGCAGAGTATATGAAAAGTTTTTTGCCATTAGGCAGTTTTAGCTGGCAGTAAGAATCTGTTGGAAAGCAGCTATGCTTTCTAGGTTTAACACTTGTTTTATAAAACCCCTAAGTAAAGAAGACACTTGGTCTGTGTTAGTATTAATGTATTAGGACTACCTCAGTGTTACAATATTTAGCTAGGCATTTAGACTCTAGAATAACTACAAAAATAGGGCAGTTATTACAAAAACAGGATGTTTAACTTTTCTGTTCCTATGTCTAAGCTGCAGGACAGAAATACAACAAACTAGTGGAACTTTCAATTATTCAAATCCTTGTTTGACAGTTAAGTTTTATACAGGGACAGCAATTTAAAAAAAAAATTCTGTTTTACAAAAGATTTCCTATTGCATATGATTAATTTTACACATTTTTGAAGTGGAAGACAGCTTTCAGAATAGTCAGAAATGAAAGTCATACTTCCACAGTACTGTTCATAACATAGCCGAATACTTTATCTGCTTGTGTGAATATCTTATACTATTAAGCTGAAGGAATTTGGTATACATTATGATAAGCTAAGAGTTAACCACTTTTCTAGAGTTTTTCCTTTTTTAAGAAGTATTTAAGAGAGAAGCGTGAAACCAATTTGCCTTACCTGCTCTTGCAACTGATGTGCCTCAGCACTAACCTCTAGTGGAGAATGACTCTCAGTGCCCATGTAGATCAGTCAGCTGCTGGAAGACGGATCAATTGTAAACTTCTCTACACTACCCTCCCAGCCTTCCTGCTGTTTGTACATACTGGTGATACTTTTGAAGGCTTTACCAAATAACAAGATTATTAAAACTTAACCTCGTGATAAACATGACTTTTTAAAAATCCTCCTGCAAGTCTTTTTCAAGTGAATTTGACCTCTGAAGTTTACTTCTAGACTAATGAGAGTCGGTAGATCTGGGGGGCAGGGTTCATATGTTTATTTTCATAGAACTCCCCTGAGAACTTTGTATGGTTATTAGATTTGACAAGTTTGCGTGCCAGTTTAACTTATATGAGAATTGAAGTATTGCAGATGTTGAACTGTTTGTTGATATTACAAAGCCATAGGTACCCCTCACAAAGGAATTGGGGTCCTAAAGGTCATTTTGTAAGGTTATTTAAATTTGACAATTTTATAAAGGAAGTTTAGAGTGTTAAGACTACCTCAATCACTATTTAACATTGATTCTGTGTTTCAGTGTCTCAGTGCCTGTTTGATGTTTAACAGAGGTCATTTCTTATGACTGATTTCTTGCATATCTGACTGGTAGAGGTGGGTGAAATTAGAAGCAGAGTAGGGCTCTAGTCCTTTGTAGAAGCAGGTATCTCCAATAAGAAGTAGAAAAGCTGATAACTGTCAACACTGCTGTAATTGGGTATAATGGGTCAGGGGTAGGTAGTGACTTCTGGGAAAATAAGTGGGCGTTGCTTGCGGGAGAAGAAAAGAGATTTAAAGTTGTTCTTTTAGGATCTTTGTAAGGATAAGTCTTGTTTCTACATGCTGTTAGTAAAATTCTCCAAGTGAACAGTATAAAACCTTAAGGTAATGGTCAAATACTGACTTGACTTAATTAAAGATAATTTGAACTTGGGTATTTTAAATCAGCTCTCTGATAACATCCACAATATCAACAATCCCTCTTTGAATACATTCACAATAAATATACCCCCTTCTACCCCCTGCAACACTTTCTTAACCTTGCATATATTTATTAGTCAGGATTTTATTTACTTGACGTTTGAATGCCTGTATACTAACTGCAGCAGTGATGATTTCTTAGTGGAGGATATGGACCTGTCAGTAGAAAGCTACTATTATGTGACTAGATTATGCGAGATGAGTGTATTGTGTGCTATAGGAGTGCATGAAGGGAATGTCAACTCTGCAGTCAGAATAAGAGAACATATAGCTGTTTCAAGAAAAGGTTCACAGAGACATTTTTCCAAAAGAGTTGTTGTAACAATTTTGAGTAGATAATAGCTCTTTATTTTGTTTTAGAGCTAATACTGCACTGACGATTCTAAATCTTTATATTACTTAGTAATATAGTATTGAATAAGAAGATTATAGCGGAAGGTATCTTCCAGTTAGGAAATATGGCAGTCGCCTTGTTTATGCAAAGGTTTACAAAGCCATCATTAAAAACCTCAGATGTAGAATTGAACTCTTTTGGAGTTTTGTTTAACTTTGAATGGTATTGATAATTGATTTAGGATTTGGTTTAAGAACTAAGTAGTACATCAATTTCATGTTGCTAGTATATATAGATAATTGTGACTTATACTCAAGTAGACATGTCATCACTTCATTACTTTAGGTTTTCGTATTTTGAAGTTGGCCTGTTGTGTGAAATAATTATTCTGAAATTTAGGTAATTGCTACTAGTGTGTGAAGATAGCTGTCAAGGTCACTTTTATTTGAGTAGTTTCAGACCTTGATCTAGTTTGGACTTAGTTAATGGAGAGGTAAATATCAAAATGGTTGAACTTACCTGTTATTCAGAAGAATGGGCTGTCCTGAAAAAGACTTAAAAAGTAAGAATCTCTCAGTCCAGTTGAGCACCTCCTTATCTATTCTTTCCAACTATCCTCATGCAAAAAAATAACTAAGATGAACTTGATTTACCTTGACTTCAGTTTTGAAGACAAACCTTTCTGGGTTGTATGCCTGGGCCCTGTTTTTTAATTTTAAAATTTAAAAATGCCTGTTGAATATGTCCCTCAGTTCAGGGTAGATTTCCTCTGTCTGGGCACATGCTGTTAAAATAAAGCCATCAATTTCATTACTTAGGTTTTCTAGCTTTCCTGTTCAAGAGGGAGATTCATGCTGCCCTTACAAGTTGTTCCTTTGCTCTGAGGTTCCATTGGAATGAAAGAAACAAGAATAGAACCAGTTATATAGGTTCTGTTCTAAGACTAACATTCTGTAACTAAATTGCCTAAAGTTCAGACAAATGTGCTACCTTCATTGTTAGTGGAAATAGCTTGTATAATATAATTTAAGGTTTATATCTGTATCATTTCTGTGATTTCCTGTTACCTAGGTCATTTTAAAAACTTGCTTGCTTAAGCACTTCAGAACTGTTGATTTAAAGGGGATTCTAATTCATACATACAATTTTTGTCTTATAAGACATTAATTTAAAAGGGCTTCATGTCTTCTAGCAATAGTTCAAGTTTTTAAAACTCTGACTAAAGGATATAATTGAGTTGAGTGTGAAGGTTGATGAAAAGTTAAAAACTTTTGCCTGAGCACTAAAATTTGTTTTAATTCCTTTGTAGTCTTTTCCTAATGTCTTTTTGGGAAAATAGCAGTACTATGTGGTAATGTTTTAATTATGTGTCAGCGCTTCTTAAAATAGAACTTAAACTAGAACTTTTTGTTTAGATTTCTTTACCTAATAAATTTGATTTCAGTGCTTTTACTTAAGTGTTATATTTGGTGTTCTAATTTAAGCTACCTTTCACTAAGTGATTGCTTTACTAAGTGAAGCATTCTCTGAAGCACTTTATGTTTTATCACATTTATTCCTCATAGACACCTTATGTTGTAAGTTTTATTACTAGCTTTATTTTATGAGTGAACAGAGACTTGGTGATTTTTTTTTTTTTTCTTTTGGCCCAAGTTCATAGAATGCTTAAGTAGTAGAATCAGAATCTACTAGGCTGGTCTGACTTGCAAGCCCCAGATCTTAACCATTACAACTCATGATATTATATGTGATGGTTATATGTTCATAAGAAGAAGAAAGGCATTTAGGGCACTTTATCATCTCAGTTTATACTTGCAAATTAGAAAGAACTATATAGGAATGAACTATATAGGAAGAGATATGTATATAGATGGTTTGTCATCTAAAGTGTATAGATGAAAGGATATGTTAGTTTTATTACTGTTCAACTTAGTATGTGGTTATTTTGTTTATTTTGATAAATTAGAAGAGGGAAGATAAAGAAACATCATAGCAAAGCACATTGTTTTGTTCTATCTCTTCACTTCTCTGCTAGGTTGTGTAACAAGAGTTATATATTTTAGCGTTCTCTACTGTACGTATACCTGGTTCGTGAGTAGCCTGTGAGTAGAAACAGCTAAGCATGGAATAGATCGCTAGAGAAAATGATTATTTAAGCTCTGCTCTGTATGCTGGTTTTACTTAACTGTTGTTGCAAGGAGGTAGGAGATAGAGTTAGGTAAACAACTTCTTTCACTGTGTCTCTGAATTTCTTGGTACTTTAGATTGGGGTGAATTCGTGGGAATGGGAGGGAGATATGTGCCAGTACAAATTTACAGAATTAATTTCCCACAGACATGGTATTTTGTGCACCTCCTAAGTCCCAGCTCTTTAAAATTATTCAGCACTGTGACTGAACTATACAAGTACTGAAATGCTCCTAGTTACTACTTGTGGAGGACTTGGGTTAACTAGTTACTACTTGAGCTAATATGTAAGTCCAAGGTTGCTTTTACTGAGGTATTGGATTATATTGAAGTTGGATAGATAAGGAACATGATTTTTTAAACCATGCATGCTTAACAAGTTTCAACTACATGACTTTTTAGAAATACAGTAGTTGACTTCAATAAGATTCCTATATTTTAAATGCATTAAAGTTGCATATTTTATCTATTTTGATAGCTGATTAAACATTAAAAACTCAAAATCTAGATAATATATATAAGATAAAGATAAGATATAAGATAAAGATCTTTCCCCAGTTTAGGGTTTATTTTTGCATGTTATACTAACAGGTGAACTTTCTTCACTTTGATTTTAAACAATATCTGTTATATAGGTAGCAGAGGTTTTGGGCTGCATCTGCCCAGGTCAAGGCAGCTTTTATTTAGAGTGATATATTTGTTTCTGGGGAACTCAGAGTACCACCAGGAAGTTTTCAACTTGGTAATTTAGCTGTCCCCCTCCATCATATATCACCAGCTTCCTCTAGAGTAGAGCAGTGGATGAAGGTGATGAAGGTACATGTAGGGTGACTATTACTTATAGGGTCTAGACAAAAGGAAGATGTTGGTGATATTAACAGAGATGGTCAAGTATATTTGTATGTTAATCTGTATAGCTATTATCTCAGCAGTAGAAACTTTTACTTAACAATTTAGTTTATTAGCTAATTTAGATTTACTAATCTAAATTTACCAAGCTAAACTATTAGTTTATTTAGAGTTACCAATCTTGAGTCTCCTGACTTCTTATATTTTTTTAAATTTTTTTTAAAATACATCTTTTTTTTTTTTTTTTTAAGATTTATTTATTTATTTATTTATACACACACTGGGTACAGTCAGAAGCGCGGGAGGGTGAGAGAATTCACCAGAGCCAGAGCGGGGAGCAGAGCAGGCAGAAGGACCAAAGTACAGCAGCAGGCGGCAGGAGAGGTCTGCACTCCATGTCGGACCCTCCTCCAGTGGCCGGGGAGCAGCCGGGGATTGAACTGGCGCTGTAGAGGCCGCGGGCAGCTTCGCAACCCAGTGCTCAACCGCTGCGCCACCGGGGAGGCACTTATATTTTTTTAATTGAAGAAAAAAAATAAACCTTTGTTGTATTAAGTAACTGAGATCTTCGGGTTTGTTACAGTAGCCATCATTACCCACCCTAATATGGAAATGGATTTTCAGTCAGTGCAAAAGATACTGTTGTTTGTTGGACTAGATAAATTAAGTTGTACACTTTTATAAGTTAAATTGCATTCTAATTGAGCTCTGATAATTTTTACTTTTCTTTTAAAAAAAATTTATGCATATAAGAGCTGGGGTGCAGATAAGACATGTGGTGGGTGAGAGGATTCACCAGAGATGGAGTGGGGAGCAGAACAGGCAGATGTACTGAAATACACTGTTGAGGGGAGCAGCCAGTGAGACAAGAGAGGTCTGCTGCACCACGTGGGTTAGATCCCTGGCCAGGGGATCTAGTGCTGCAGTGGCTGCGGATAGCTTCATAGTGCTGCGTCTTATTCCCTTGCACCACTGGGGAGGACCCCAGATCTTTACTTTTCTTAATACTGTGTGGTGATACTAAAATAACTAGTTGAAAATTGAGTCAGTTGATTACTGTGTTATTAATTATGTAGTCAGTGGTTTTGCAGATATTTAAATAAAATTCATTGATATTTGAACTAAAAAGGCAATTTTTTAAAAAAATTTTACATCTTACAGAATTTAGGCATGTGAAAATTTCTTTTTCTTTGTTTTCAATACAATAAAATTAAAGAATTATTTTCCTTTTGAAACTTCTGGTTTTCTGAAGATATTTGACTTCAGGTTATGAACAATTTTCTTATTGAGAAATGATTTATATTCTATAAAATTTGCCCTTCAGTGTGTACAACTTAGTGGTTCTTAGTGCTTCACAGAGTTGTGTAATCATCTCCAGTATTTAATTCCAGAACATTTTCATCACTCCAAGAAGAAGCTCCCCACCTCCTAGCAGTCACTCTACATTCTCTGTTTTCCCACTCCTTGATAGCCACTAATCTGACTTCTGTCTCTGTGAATTTGCCTACTCTGGAAATTTCATATAAATGGAACCATAAGTGGTCTTTTGTGTCTGGCTCCTTTCACTTATCATGTTTATAAGGTTCATCTATGTTATGACATGTGTCAGTACTATACTACTTTTTATGGTTGAATAATATTCCAGTGTATACACACAGACACACACACACACACACACACACACACACACACACCCAGAGGACATTTTGCATACAGTCATCATTTGCTAGATATTTGGGTTATTTTCACTTTTTGGCTATTTATGTGTGTGTTCATATTTGTTACGTTGTCAAAAACAATTGATGGAAGGGTAATTCAAAATTATAGAGGGGGAGAAACCTGAAAGAAACTGAACCGCTAATAGTATCTTCTTGTACTGTTTTTGTTGTTGCCATGCATGTTATATAGATAATTTTAAAACGTTAAATACAGAAATGTAATCTCTACATGGCAATACATTTAACAATGTCAGTATGGTGACATAGTTATGAAAGGAATTATTCCAAGTAACTTTGAAACAATGTTTTGACTGTATATCCCTGGTGGGATATACCTAAGGACAGAAAAAAGCCACAATAAATTTTAAACTTTATCAAATATAGTTACTTTTATTTTGAGATATCATATGATAGGAAAAAGCTAATAAGTATATTTGCTGATGGCAATATTTGTTAATGTCATTAGCAAGCAAGAATTTCAGGGTGAGAATGGATCTGAAATAAGTAAAAACCATGTATTACATAAGTGGAAATAATAATATGAACTCTGGGTTTAATTTTCTACTTTGCCCACTGAAGAATCTTTGAAGTAGTGGCAAGTAAAAATAAACACTTCTAGATCCCAGATTTTGGCCGTTAGATACCATTTCTGTTAAAAGGAATAAAGACTCCTGGAGCAGTGACTGATTCCAGGGGAGGGCTAGGAAGTTTGTGAGATGAACTGAAAGCAAGGAACGTATTAGAGATGACAGGGCATGTCTAAATGACACAGGAGCCAACTTTCAGGGGTTCCTATTGGCCAAAGATGTCTAAATGACACAGGAGCCATTTTAAAGGGTCCCTATTGGCTAAAGATGGTGCACTTTGAGGACCCACCAAAACATGACAGTATATTGAAAAGCAAAATTCCACAAGCTTTTAATGATACTTAAACCAAACTCATTTGTCACTGTAGAGTTTGCTTGGATACTTACTCTGAAAGTGGATAGAGAATGAATTGAGCATCTTTGTTGCCTTGTAGATTAGGTAACCAAATAATTGATGAGGTTTTTAGTAGAATCATAGTTAACACAGAAAGTATTATAGAATTAGAAAATAATTTTCCATCCATAATTAAATAATGGATCATAGGTAGTTTGATATAGGTAGTTAATAAGGTTAGGTGAATGAATAGGAGGGTACTTTATAAGGAATTGCTTAGGCTGACAACATTTGAACCCATTGACCAATTGTAAAATCACTGAAAGTAGATCAGCCAATCCCCATGTGCTGAAAATGATGTGAGACAATAGGAAGTACACAGTACTATTATGAAATTCTTTTGTCAAACATGAAAGAACCTGAATCTAATCAATCCTCTAGATGTAAGTACATTATGCAGGGGCTGAAGGACATGCTACATGATACCAGGAGGATACAGTCAGTAGAACTTAGACTGCAGCATGATTTCTTAACAGATAAGTGACATGAGAAAATTTAAAAGAAATGGAAACTTGAAAGATTAAAACAGACATAAACCCCCAAATCTGTGTGAGAACCTTGTTTGGATTCTGATTCAGAAAGATTAAAACAGACATAAACCCCCAAATCTGTGTGAGAACCTTGTTTGGATTCTGATTCAGACAAGCCATCTCTGAAAAGACATTTTTGAACAAATGGGAAAATTTGAGCTGTTCTGGATATTAATAATAGGGATTATTATTTCATTGAATGTGGAAGCATTGTGGATTATATATAAACAATTAAACACAAATACTTAAAAAAATTGTTACAGATACATACTAATTTTTACAGTTGAAAAGAAATAGCATATAGGACTTGCTTCAAATTCTCTTTTTTCCAAAAAAGGAAATTGGAAATAGATGAAACAAGAATAACAGAATGTTGATAATTGTTGAGGCTAAATACTTGGGAATTCTTGCAGATGGTACCAGGAAGTACATTTTATCCTTTCCACTCAGTTTTTGTTAGAGAGTTTTCATAATAAAAAAAAAAAATTGCAGGAGAGGACAAATGTCCCTTATACAGAATGATGACATGACATAGAACTATCTATAAAACGTTCATTAGACTGGTTAAAAAAAAATGATAGTCTGTGTCGACTAGTATTTATCAAAGAACCACCTTTAGATTCCAACTGAAGTAATAAGTATATAATGGAAATCTATAAAGCATTCGCTAATTAATTTTTCCATTATCTACTTAGCATTCAACTTATATAATTTAACATACATGCCTTGTTAAATATTTACATGTAGTGATTAATGTTTCAAGACTTAAGCTATTTATCTCTTTAAAAAGAAGCTCTTATTTTGTGTTATTTTGTGTTTGATTGTTTATATATAATCCAGGAGAAACGTGATTGTACCTGACCGTTAAATATCTTAGAAGAACAGTTATACCTTAGGATCTTTGGCACCTAAACCTCTCTGACATCTTTCTCAATATGATCATTTCTGTTATGGTTATTGTTCACATAAGACCCTTTTTAGTATTTAGGCTGAATATATAGTCTGTTTAAAAATTGATTTAGTGTTGCTTGGATTTAACAATTGTTGATATATACTAATAATTGTTCTAGTAGAATTCATGGAACTATTTCTCAGTTATTTAATAGGCCTTGTGGAAATATACATAAATACTTTAATTTTGAATACTTTAATGCTAGCTTGCAGTGTGAACACTTAATAGATTTATCATAAGTACAAAATAGAGCAGAGATAACTAGAACATATTACATATGGTGCATTGCATATAGAGATCTGTGGCAGCTTTAATCTCCATGTACTTGAGTTGATTTTTCTTTAGACTTATATTTGCAAGAAATGTGCAAAGGTGTTCTTGAGAGTGTCAAGAATAATCAAAACTGCAATAGTTACCTAAAGCTGGAACTAAATACATATGACTTTTAATGAAAGCCAAAAAATTGTTCTGGTGATATCAGTAAAGTAGAAAATAAATCTTATGTAAACTTTTAGATTAAAAATACTAACAAAACAATTCAAAATAACTTTGGTGACTTTCTTATCCCATTGTGGACTATTAATAGGAGACCAGCCATCTTGTCATTTATAGTCTTTGAAGATTTTTAATGGTTGTTCTACATGCATTGCATTATACTGAAAAGGAAAACTTCTAATTTACCTTTGTTCTCTGGTTTTAAAAATGTATCTGTATTTTACCTTATCTACAATAGACATGCTACTATTTTGCTGAGTTCTTAAATGTCTTAAATTAAGTTTGGAAAAGCAAAATTCTTAAATTATGTGAGTAATCTATTTGAGTCTAATGGGAGTCTTACTCTACTCACAGTTACAGTTTACCCATGCTTAGACTTGTTATTCCAAATTTCCAATTTGTGTAATTAGAAAAAAATTGAGTTCTTTCCTTTGTCCCTTTCATTTCTTAGTCGACGAAAGACCAGAGATTGGTGTATTCCGGTAGACTGCTTCCCGATCATCTGCAGCTAAAAGACGTTCTCAGAAAAGTAAGCTTTTTCTACCACTATATGATGCCAGATACATTCAGAGTATAAGAGGAGATGTGTTTTATTGATGTCCAACCAATTAAGTTTTTAGATACTTATTATCAGCCGTTTTGGGTAACATAATAGATAAACATGAAGTATTGTAGAAAATATATTTAGTGATAGATTCTGACTGGCATGGGTAACAGTTTTGAATGTCCATCTGATGGCTAATCTGAAATCTAAGTTTGTGTTCAGGTATTTGTTAACTTGTATAAAAAAGAAAGCACTATTGATTTATAAGTTGTGTAGGAGTAGGATGTTCAGGTAGTAGTATAGGATTTTCATCGATGATAATCTCTTCTTTGACATTTTAATGCAAGTTGGTTGGCTTAGGAGTTTAATTTCAGGACAGGAAAAAGAAGGAAGCCCAGTTGGTTCATCAGTCAAGAAGTTGAGTGCTGGGCCTCCCGGGTGCACAGCAGGTTGAGTACAGCGCTGTGAAGTTGTCCACAGACTCTGCAGTGCAGGTTTGATTCCAGGCTGACCGGGGAGATACCCACAAGGCGCGGCGGACCTCTCCTGTCTCACCCGCTGCTCCCCTCAGCAGTGCTTTTGGTTGTTCTGCCTGTTCTGCTCCCCACTCTGTCTCTGCTGAATTCACTCACCCTCCTGCTCCTCTGGCCTGTACCCCAGTTCTTGTATAAAATAAAATAAATCTTAAAAAAAAACCTGAGTGCTGGGGCTCAGATCTAAATATATTTCAATTCACATTTTTGGCAGTCAGTTTGAATGCTAGTTAATTTTAATGGTGGTAGCTTTTAGTTCATGTTCATTTGTAGAGTTTATACTTTTAGAAGCAGATGCTGCTTTTTGTTTGGGAATGTAGCAGAATTAAATACTAGTTTTTATGTAATATATAATCTTTGACTTAACTCTTAATGTTGTTCTAGATTTCCCTGATTTATATCCTCTCCTGTGTATTTATGATCACTTGTGGGGAACCTTAAAAATCTTATATTAGTGTATTTCTCTGTTAAGGTAGTTGACATTTTAGCTTTGTCAAAATGACTTTTTGTTGTCATTTTCATTTTAATCGTGTAGTTTCAGATTACCGAAGTGATTTAATAACTCCTCTTTCCCAAAAAGAGGAATTTGCAGCAGATTTTTTCTCTTTCTCTAAATAGACTTTATTATTTTATTTATTTTTTTTTGAGTAATTTTAGGTTCACAATAAAATAGAGCAGAAGTACAGAGATTTCCCATATAGCCTATGTCTTCACCCATGTGCAGCCTCCCCTGCTACCAATATTCCATACCAGCTGGGGAGTTCATTTGTTATAGTTGATGAACCTACATTGGCACATCATTGTCATCCAAAGTTTACATTAGGATGCTGTATATTCTATGGATTTTTACAAATATATAATGACATGTACCCATTTATTATAATATCTTACAGAATAGTTCCACTACCCTAAAAATCCTCTGTGTTACCCCTGTTCATTCACTCTTCCCCCACTTATAAAAATCTTTCTGGTGTGTGCTCTTTGAAATACAGATTTATCATTTTAACCCTAGAGTCTCTACATGAATATTATTTAAAGGTTTTGGCTGACAGGAATGGTTTAAGAATTAAGAATTCTTCAGTCAAAGGACTGTTGTGCCCCCTGTATAAAACATTTTGAATGCTATGTTTACATTTTGAATAGACCTTCGTACCTCCCTTTTTAGGTCAAATGCGTTCATTAGATTTACCTGTTATATTTTATAGAAATATTCTTCAAAGTGAATGAATATTATGAGTAGTGATTAATATGACCATTGAAACTAAGTTTCTAAGAATAAACATCTTATACTTAGATGCCTTTTAATGTTCTGTATTCCGAAGCTGAGGGGATAGTATAAGTCAGGAGTGTCTTCTGCCTACCTCACTAGGTATGCTTCATGTCATGCTATCTCTTGGAATGCTTCTCTCTACCATTTAGCTATTCCTTCTCTCCCCAATTACTTTTTCTACACTCCTAAAACACTTGTAGCAGCTTCAACATCTCAGTTTTGTACAAAAGATTTTTATGTATTTCTCTAATTGTACTCTAATGTGTTCTTATTTTTGAGATTTTTGAGTAGATTGAGCAATATCAATCTACTTAGGGGAGGTGCTGACCATTAGCTTGGATTCACTTCAAAATTAAGGACAATTCCATTTTTATGTAGGCAGTTGCTGAATTTTTAGTTTCTGGTAGCTTCGTTTCTCTTTTTCACACTGGGTATCTTTCTTTTTTTCCTGAACCCTTCATCATTCTTTTTTTCTGAAATGTTGTATCCTTTGTTCTTCTCTTCTTGCCTTTATTCTCTTTCCTTTCTCCATCTTATTTACTTACTTTGTCCCTAAGCATATACACTCATGAAATTACTAAGCTAAAATGCCAATCCTAATCATTACTAGAATGTTTTCTTTCAGTCATAGTTGATTTATAGAAATACATGGAGTATTTATAGTATATAGTTCAAATACATACTTTGCATTTGTGTATAAGTGTTACAGATAAAATAGTTTTGACTTAAATAAGTAAAAATATACATCACTTTGCTAAGATTTAGGCAAGTGAGAGTATGGTAAAGTTATTTGAGTTTGTCACAGCTCAAGTAATGGGGATATTTCCACTACTCAATGTTCGTAGGATTAAACTTCATTGTCACTATTACTGACCTGATATTAAAGTGGTAGATGTTTTTATAGTGAAATAATAGATTGTGTTGCACAGCATTACAGTATTGTTTGCTATAAGACTCCCTGCTATGCAAAATAATCACTTTTTTGTTGAAATTTCAAAATAAATTCACCGTTTTAGGATTTTATTACTTATAAAATGGCTATGCTAGTAAGGAACTTCAATTTTGAATTAAGTGTTTCAGTTTGGCTACCAGCTTTTGAACTGTGTCTTCTAGTACTATCCTTTAAATGTGATCTTCTTTAATTTTAGCAAGATGAGTATCATATGGTTCACCTAGTATGTACTTCTCGGACTCCTCCCAGTTCTCCAAAATCCAGCTCCAGTAGAGAAAGCTATGAAGCATTGGCATCCAGCAACAGTTCTGTGAGTTGTTTTGGGAGGAGTAAACATTGAAGTTTTCTGATTATCCTTTTTTTGCCTCTAAAAACTAAGTGTGAAACAGAATAATTAGAGCTTGTAGATTTGAGATTGTGTTTTGAATAGCTTGAGTTGGACATTTGAACTTTGTTTATAAAGATTCCTTGCTCCTTGTTATCCCTTGAAACCTGTTCACTATGAGTTGTAATTTGCTTCTGGCAGATCAATAATAGATACAATGTTTATGAGTTTAGTTACTAAAACACTCAAAACAATTAGGATGTAGTTATGATGTAAAGTAAATCTAGGGCCAGTAAAATGTCAGAACTATTTAAGATATTTAATGTATATTTTTTCCAGGTGATTTATTTATGTAAGTTTTAAGTGTGTTAAATCTTCTTGATGCAGTTTGCTTGCTCAAGAATTCTGTTATCTAAAGTGATGGACTTGTGTATAACTTCTAAATGCAGGAGAATAAGTTACTTAACCTATTAATCTCTTTCAGAATTAGGTTTTTATTTCTTCCTCATTTTTTTAGCTGACTAAAATTGTTTTGAAATTTTTTTTTAATTGCTGGACTTTTCGACTTAGACATTTTCTTTAAGTGTTAAATAAACTCTCCTGAAGCCTTTCATGTTGTATTATCTTTTATTTCCCACATAAATCTTATTTGATACCTTTGGAGGTAAGAGAAAATGATTGGATATGTGGAACCTTCCTTTAAACTTCTGGATAGGGACCTTTTATATTGCTGAATATACATTCCTTTTTGTGAAGATGTAGCCAAAACTTTGAGGGCACAAGTGACAAAGATGACAAGTAATTGAAAGAACTTCTAGTAGATACTACTTAACTACTTTTTTAAGGAACTAGATTTTCTATTTGCTATATAAATGTTAGTTGCTATATTCAATGGTAAGTATTTTCTAGTACCAGTCATGGGAATTTAGCTTTCATTACACTGAAATAAGTTTTTGTCAGTAAACTGAAGAGCCTTTTTATATTTCATATCTTGCTTTAAAAGGCATAGAACATTGACTTTGGCAGTTGAAGTTTTGTTTATATTCTTTGGATACAGTTCTGCTACTCTAGTTTTTTTTTTTAAGAAAGGCCCCCCCTCTGACTTAATTGACTGATTGACTTAATTGACTCATGATTTCTCAGCCATGATTTCATGTTATCAGTACATATAATTCAGCTTTTTCAAGGGCTATCATGAAAATCTAAAAAGCATCAAAAATTAAGTTAAATTTGCCTTTATTTTTTGTAACTGAGAAATTTCAGTGGGATTCAAAAATATTTTAAAGATCAAATCAGAAATGAGTTACATAATAAGGTCAAAGATCATTAGTTTCAGAGACATTTATCTGTGCTGCCATATAGTAGACTTTTTTCCTAATAACTTTTAAATGAACACCATATTATGATGGTTCATTTAATGAAAAATCTTGCTAAAAAAAGAAGTCCTTCCCAGTTTATTTTACTAAGAATCAGTTTCCCTAGTAAGACTATTTGGAATCCATTTAATGTGGAGTAACATTTTAATGAAAGCTTTTGTTCATTTTGCAAAAGATCTGTGTCCTTGAGACCTTTAAGATGGCAGAATTTAGGAAGGTAACCATGCATCAGGAAGGCAATGCAAGTAAAATACAATTTTAACAAACTTGGTAGGATATTAAAATTATATTGTATTCAGTTTTTCAAAGGTGGAAAGCTGTAATTTTTTAAAAATGTAATTGTGTTTTAAATTTACATAAAATATTTGACACTTTTTAAACAGGAAAAACTTAGAATGTCTTCAAAGAAGGTTATATTATTTAAGGTTACTAAATCTGTGAGGTACTGGCATCATGAAAATTTAAAAATCTTGATTGTTATCTTTTTGATAACATTATTAAAAAAAAAAAAAGTACCATAGTATTGGTTGTGGTTTTGTAGTAGTTTTAAAACCAAAAGGAATCTTGAAAACTTGGTCAATCTTATTTTTTATAAGAAAGCTGATACTCTTAAGAGTTAAGAACCTTTAAGTTGGGCCTACCCGGTGGCGCAGCGGTTGAGCGCTGTGTTGGGAAGCTGCCCGCGGCCTTTGCAGCGCCGGTTCCATCCCAGGCTGCTCCCCGGCCACCAGAGGAGGGTCCCACATGGCGCGCAGACCTCTCCTGCCGCCCGCTGCTCCCCTCAGCAGTGTACTTCCGTCCTTCTGCCTGCTCTGCTCCCCGCTCTGGCTCTGGTGAATTTTCTCACCCTCCCGTGCTTCTGACTGTACCCAGTGCATGTATGAATAAATAATAAATCTTTAAAAAAAAAAAAAAAGAATGATGCAAAATATATATAAAAAAAAATTAAAAAAAAAAAAGAACCTTTAAGTTTATGTGTTTTGTTAATGTCAGAGATAATATCAAATTCTAGATCTTCTGATTGCTGGCGTATCCTCATTATTTTAAACCAACATTTTAAGCCAGCGTGTTCTACAGCACCTGGCACATAGTAACTGTTTAAACAATACAATAATTTATACCATTTATTGAGAACTTTTTATGTGTTAGACATGTGAAAAGTGCTTTGCTTTAATCCTCACAACTGAATATGCTATTTTTGCATACAATTACTTTACTGTTCAGTATTTCTAGTTGATAACTGTGAGGTTGGATAATAAAGCATTTTTGATTTCCTTAACTCTTTAGTATCATCAGAATTAAAGTATCTATTTTGTGCATAGGATTCAAATCAGCAAATTTCTAAAATTTAGTTATTTTAAAAAAGGGATTTAATAAATACATTTTTAGCAATGTATTTGACTTAAACCACCTTGAGAAAATAATTATATTTTTGTTTGTAGAGTTCAGATCATTCAGGATCAACAACTCCATCAACTGGTCAGGAATCCTTGTCTTTAGCTGCCAGTTCTTCCTCAGAAGGATTAAGGCAACGTACCCTTCCACAAGCACAGACTGACCCAGCACAGAGTCATCCGTTCCCATATGTAATGCAAGGGTGAGTAAAATCATGGTGACTGTGGGAAGACCGCTTTTTTTTTTTTTTTTTTAGGTATAAGTGACATGTTATATTTGTGGATCTCTTAAAAATCTGTTTCTCCTGACTTTCATGGTAGCCCCTCTGAAGCAATCCAAGTATAATTAAAGTTTATTCATAAAATTATATGTTTTGAGATTTAGAGGGTTTAGTAGAGCAGTGCACTTGAAAGATGGTAATATAGCAGCAGCATCAAGGGCAGTACTTTCCAATTTTTATTTTTATTTTTATTTTTTTATTTTTATTTTTATTTTTTTAAGGTTTATTTATTTTTTTATGCAAGAAACAGGGTACAGGCCAGAGGTGTGGGAGGGTAAGAGGATTTACCAGAGACTGAGTGGGGAACAGAACAGACAGACTGATGAAATAACACTGCTAAGGGGAGCAGTGGGCAAGACAGGAGAGGTCTGCTGCGCCATGTGGGATTCTCGCCAGCTGGCCGGAATTGAACTGGCGCCACAGAGGCTGCAGACAGCTTCACAGTGCTGTGCTTAATCGCCTGTGCCACCAGGAGAGGCCCTCAATTTTTATTTTTTTTTAAGGTTTATTTATGCATACAAGAACTGGGGTACAGGCCAGAGGTGCAGGTGTGTGTGTGTGTGAGAGGAGTTACCAGAGACAGAATGGGGAGCAAAACAGGCGGATTAACTGAAATACACTGCTGAGAGGAGCAGACGGTGAGACAAGAAGGGTCTGCTGTGCCATGTAGGTCACCTTCCTGGCTGGGAATTGAATTCATGCTGCAGTAGCTGCAGATTGCCTTATAGTGCTGAGGTTAACCCCTTGCACCACCAGGGAGGCCCTGCTTTTCTGTCTTTAATGCTCATGCTGATTACCAGATTCTGATTAGTAGGTCTAATGGGTCCTAAGAGTTTACATTTCCAGCAAGTTCTCAGGTGATGCTGATGCTTCTGCTGCATAGACCACACTTTGACTAGCAAGGATCTAGGTGACTAAAAAATTTGTTCGTAGTCTTGAGGTAGCTCTATCCAGATTAGTTTTCTGGGGAGCAAATGGGTGAATGAGGGTGCTCTTGGAAGAATATAGCAATCTTATAAGTTCCACAGCTATATCTGATCAGATAAGCTTGGTAAAACTGACATAGAGTAAAACTGTGATGTATTATGAGGACTATATTTATGTATATTAGTGCGTGTATCTAGAGTCTTTGTTAAAGGAGTTTACTTAAGTTTGCTGTGGCTACCTTATATTTACTAATTACAGCAGACCTCTTGGGTTAGGCAGTTCCTATGGGAATTACTGCCACCAGCCTCAGTACATCTTTGCCAACTCAAAGAATAGGACCTCAGAGAATTTAGATTGTACCTGGTTTATGTCTGAAACCAGAGTACTTTGCCCAGGAACTGTTATTTGTTACTTTTGAAGTAAAGGAAACATGAGTATCAGGTAGTGATAATTGTTTTACATTGCATATTAAACTGGTGTGTGGCTCTGCTCCAGGTCCAAGATGGTGAGATTGAAAATAAAGAAATGGCTAGAACCCCAGAATGGAAGTAGGTCATATAACTGAGTAGCAGCCATTGCTAATTAAGATAATTAATTGATTGCTAATTGATTGCTGATTGCTAATTAAGATAGCATGAGCATCCAGATAATTTTTTACTTACATTAATTCTTAATGTAGAAAGACAAAGGTGCGTGTATAGCAAAATATAAGAAAACTTTTGTCTCATATTTCTTGATTATAAGCTTCTCAAATTAAGTATTTAGATAAGACCTTAAAAAGCACCTGTGAAACAGCTTTTATTTTCAGGAAGTGATTGCTACAAACCAAAACTTACTAACAAAAAGCAGTGTTCTCTGGGTTTATATTATGGAGTAGTAACTTAAAATACATTATATTTTCATTTCCTGTCTTTTAGTAGAGTAAGACAGTTCAGTTCCTCTAAGTTTATATAGAGTGATTTTACTTATTTATTTTTATTCAGTGGTAGTGATGCAGAATAATAGGAATGCTATGTATATAATAAGCCTGGAAGCATACATAATGATATGTTAACAATGTTATCTCTTATAATAAGATCTTTAACTCTTTCTTATACAATGAATAGATTTTACAATAAAACAAAGCTTATGAGATTGCGAGTATTCAGAATAAGACCATAGATACCAGGAAAAGATTAATAATTTCTCTAAACTAGGCTATTGAGGAAATCAAATAAGAGAGAGAAAGGCATTTAGCTCTTAACAATATATTAAACAGATTAGAAAAATCTGATATAGTGTTTATTTTGTAAAAAGTAGCAAAATGATGAGCAACAGAATCTGAAGATATTTAAGGATGACTTGACAGAAGTGATAAAGTAAGTTCCTTACTTTGCTCCCAAAACGAACCTGTAAAATTGACCAAAGGGACAGTACACTGAGAGAGTCCTGAGATTCAGGGTAAGACTGAAGTACCCCTAGGACCTCAAAGATCAACACATATTGCACCAGAGGGGGCATGGAGGAGGGTGAAGAGAAATACCTGAAGGCTGCTATCAAGGTTGGGGGACACAGATGGCAGGGCAGCTGGTCTAGTCAGGGACCCTGGGGAGGGGAGATTGGAAGCAGTAAGAGGTACTTACACATCCTTGATTCAGGTGCAGCACATTTGGAGGAGTTGGGGTGCTCTACTCAGACTGAGGCCCTGGTAAGGAGACCAACAGAAAAGATAGCCTAGACTGTACTTCCTTTCTCCCTCCTTTTGACTGTTTTGACCTCATGAAGTGTAGTAACAGAAGACAGACTAAGTTGAAGAGCTGGGACTCCAGAGAGGAGGGATATTGGCAGTGCCCCAAATCTGAAGCAACACACCCTCCGTTCTGCCTCCTGACCAACACACACTGCCCAGCACATTCTCAACCATATCTGGACCCTTCTCTCCTCTCCCCACTCTGCCAACACATCAAATTCAAATACCGCTCAGTACCTGTGGAAGTCAGTGGAGGCAAATAAAATAAAATAAAATAACCATAATAACTCTGAGGAAAGTAAAACTATTTCAACTCTCTTAAGTTGCAGATTTAAAAAAATAGGGAAATTTAAAATAGCAAAATGGCAGACAAAAAAAAAAAACCAACAAAAACCACATGACAACTCAAGAATTCAAGAGAATATGAGATCAGAAGGAGAGGACAACTCTCAAGAATCCAGCCACAAAGACATGGAAAATTGTATCTCCCTATTAGATAGAAAGTTCAAATTGCTATAATAAAGAAACTCATAGAAGGAGCTTCGGAAAGGCAACTTAAAGTGATACAAGAAAACTCAGAAAAGCTAATCAAAGAGATTGCATAGAGCTCAGGAAATAAATTTACAATCTTAGATTTAAAGTTAAAGAATAGAATTGAGTCTTTAAGAAAAATAACAGATTTAGAATATGAAGAACTCAATAAATGAGATGAAAAGCTCTTGAGGAAGGTAAGAAAGAAGAATGGACTAAATGGAGGATCAAATCAGTGACCTTGATGATAGTAATGAACACACGACTCAGGTTGAAGAAGAGAGAGAAATAAGATGTTAAAAAAAAGAAAGAAGATGAAGCACAATGGGATCTGACTACATTAGGAAAGGTAACATAAGGATAAGTTATATCCCAGAGGATTGAGAGAAAAAGAGAGAGAGAAAAGGTATTGGAGAGCTTATTCAAAGAAATAACAGAAATTTCTCAAACCCAAGGAAGGAACTGAACATACAAGTCAGCAAAGGTTAAAAGAACAGCTCATTATCTAAATGCAATGGGGCTTACATCAAGACATCGTAGTTAAACTATCAAGAGTTCAAGACAAAGAATAGTGAAGGTTGCAAGGGAGAAAAAAGCAAGTAACTTATATAGGTACTCCCATCAGGCTTTAATCAGACTTCAGCAGAACCTCTATGGGCCAGGAAAGAATGGAATGATGTATTCAGAACACTCAAAGATTGAGGAATCTCCACCCAGCTTTCCATAGTGGTTGGACCAGTTTGCACTCCCACCAGCAGTGCAGGAGAGTTCCTTTTTCTCCACATCCTCGCCAACATTTGTTGTTGCTAGTTTTTTTAATATGTGCTGGTGTGAGATGGTATCTCATTGTAGTTTTGATTTGCATTTCCCTGATTGCAAGTGATGTTGAACATTTTTTCATATGCCTGTTGGCCATTTGCATTTCCTCTTCAGAGAAGTTTCTTTTTAGCTCTTCTACCCATTTTTTGACTGGATTGTTTTCTTTGTTTTGGTTATTTTCTCTTTTGCTGCACAGAAGCTCTTTAATTTGATGTAGTCCCAGCTGTTTATCTTTGCCTTCACTATCACTGCTTTGGGTGATGTGTCTGTAAAGATGTCTTTGATATGCAAATCACGTAGTGTTTCGCCTGTATTTCCTTCTATATATATTTTATGGTTTCAGGTCTTATGTCTAGTTCTTTAATCCATTTTGAGTTGGTTTTTGTGCATGGTGTGAGGTAGTAGTCAAGTTTCATTCTTTTATGTGTAGCGACCCAGTTTTCCCAGCACCATTTATTGAACAAACTTCCATATGATCCAGCAATTCCACTCCTAGGTATTTACCCAAAGGACACAGAAACATCAATTCCAAAGAGCACCTGCACCCCTATGTTTATAGCAGCACTATTTACAATAGCTAAGCTTTGGAAACAACCCAAGTGGTACATATACACAATGGAATATTACTCAGCAATCAAAAAAGATAAACACATGCAATTTGCAGCAACATGGATGGAGCTGGAAGGGATCATGCTCAGCGAAATAAGCCAGAAAGAAAAAGAAAAATACTGATGGTCTCACTCATAGAAGGAATCTAGAAAACCTAAATAAGGGACCAAGAAAAAGAATAACTATAAGACAGAAAAAATCAAAATCAACAAACAACTATGAACCAGAGACACACTTTGAGGGGGTGGCGGGGAAAGGAGGGATTGGGGTCAAAATAAGGGGGTTGCAATTGTATGGGGAATATAAAAATAAAATTTAAAACAACACTCAAAAATAAAAACTGCTAATCAAAAACACTATATCCTGCATGACTCTCAGATATGGGGGAGAAATAAAGGCCTTCCCAGAAAAACTCCTATTGAAGGAGTTTGCCAATACTAGACCTCCCTATATGAAATGTACAAAGGAATTCTGATCTAAGTTGAAGAAAAGAAAATCCATAAAAAATTGAGCAAGGTAAAAGAGTCAGAAAACTAAAGACAAAATGGCAGTAGCAAGCACTCACATATCAATATGACCTTTAATGTAAATGGATAGAACTTACCATTCAAAAAAGCACAGTGTGGCCCGGTGGATTAAGAAGCAAAACCTAGCTATATGCTACTTGCAAGAGACTCACTTAAGCTATAAAGACAAACATAGACTCAGAGTCAATGAATGGAAATTAGTACTCTAAGCCAATGGAAAATTTTAAAAGGCAAAAACTGCTATACTTATACCAGAGGAAATAGACTTCTAGCCAAAAAAGATTAGAAAGAGACAAAGACAATAAAATGATCAGTACAGCAGAAAGTTATATAACAGCTATCATTATATATACTCCTATTATAGCGACATTAAAATATATGAAATAAATTTTTAACAGACCTAAAGGAAGACATTGGCAGCAATGTGGTATAGCAATATAGACAGATCATCCATACAGAAAAATCACTGAGGAAATAATGGCCTTCCATGACAAATGGACAAGGTAGGCTTAATATTTATAGAACTTTCCACTTCAAGACACCAGAATATACATGGTTTCCAAATGCTCATGAACATTCTCAAGGACAGACCATATGCTGGGACATATTATGGTAAAGGATTGAATTGGATTTTAGTGGGGATTTTGATATTGTGTGTGTATATACATATGTTAATTTTCAATGATGCACACCTAAAACTTACATAATGTTATAATGCTATATTACTTGGATAAAAATGTTAAATTTAAAAAAGTAAAATTATTGATTGTGGTACTCAGAAATCTGCCAACTTAACAATATCCTGGGAACCTCACTTTGAGAAATCCTAATGTAGGTGATTATGGAAGCTCTTAAGGGACCAAAGCAGTATATGTATAGCACCACATAGACTGTTCATTTCCAGTTTCAGATTTATAAGTCTTGACCTACTGTTCCAGACTCAGACATTGTACTGTCACATTTATTTACTTTAACTTCAAAAACTCCTGATTGGTTTATAGAATACCCATTGTTTTGTACGTTCAGTCATTTTCCCTAAAATAGTGAGAACTATTATAATTGATAAAAATGAAAAGCTACTCACTGTAGCCATCTATATTGTTTGCTTTTTTTAAGAAGTAAAAATTATTTGTAGCCCCCCACTCAAAAATAATCATTATTAACATTTTTGTAATAACTTTCCACTTTTTGGAATGTACTTTTTAAAATTAGAAATATCATTCCATTCTGTCTCATAAACATTTCTGTCAATAGAAAGCATAATGTATAGCCTGGATATATATCCAGGCCAAATATAAATCCACAACATATAAAATCTGTATGGTTTTTCATCATGTGGATATACCAATTTGTTCACTCTTATTAAAAAAGGTGTATACTTGGTTTTACTGCATAATGAAGTCAGGATCTCATGGGCTTACAACAACATCTTTATTTTCTTGCTCGTGGTCTGTTAGTCATTTGGGACATTTCTGCTTCAGGCTATAGATTGAGTTCAGATCTGTTTCTTGCTTTTTATTTTCTGTGGACCATTAGCTCCCTAGGACCTGTTCTTCCCATGGCGAATGACAAGAACACAAGAGGGCAAGATAACCAGTGAGTGCATAAAAAAACCTCTACATGTTTTGCATTCCTTAACACCTCACATTTCATTGGCCAAAACAAGTCACCTGGCAATAGCATTCGGATGGGGAGGTATTGCTGAGTAACATGCTGTGTTGGTGACAACTGAATTTTCCTGGGTGGAGATGGTGAGGTAAAGCTAATTTTCAGTATTTGCTGATTTCTGTGGTGTTACATATTTTCACCATGAATGATTTCAAGATACCAAGGTTGGGTTCACAAAATTTTGAACTTGAGCTGTTAGCTTTGTAAACTGATGTGAACCAGCACAAGCCAGCTCTGTCAATGTGTGACAGTGTACACTTGTACAATCCTGTTATAGAATAATTCAAGAATTGGGGCAATCTTCTATCATAAATGTTGGGTTGTTGAATATTTTTTGCCCCACTAAACGTAAATATCACCACAATCAGTATTTTTAACTCTGCTTACATCTTAGCAGTTACTCTTTTAGATTATGTTTTGAGAAGGGGAATTTCCCAGGTCAAAATGTTCTTGAGTTTTGGAGGCTCTTAAAGACTATTTAAAAATTGCAGTTAAAAAAATACCAGATTACTCGCCCATTAACAATTGTTGTCAGCCTAATTCTCTGTGTTTATAAATATGTACTTACCAGTGTGATAAATTGGAATGTCCTTGCTTTAATTTGAGACATGAGAAAGAGCTATCCTTTTTGTTTTGTGAAATGCTTGTTTGTTGGCATGTTGATATTTAAAAAAATTCATTTGTGACAGTTCCTTACCTAGAAGGGTATTAATCATTAATGCATACTGAGCATTTAACCCAAGTCAGGCATTGTATTAAGCACTTATGTGCATAATTTCATTGAACTTTACACCAGATATGTGATGTAGGTACTATTTTCTTCCATTTAATGGATGAAGAAAAGGAGGCTTAAAGATATTATACTTTGTCTGTGTTCATAGAAGTCAGTAGCAAAAATAGGTTCAACTGCATGTCTGACTTGAAGTTAACAGTCCTGTTGACTATTGCCTTTTGTTTTAATGTGTTTTTTCCCTAAGTGTCATTTGTATTTTGATCTCATTTATAATGGTGGTTCTTTCTCATCTAGTCAGATCTCCTGGTCAGATTGTATGTATTGGTGACTGAATAAACAAATATGTGTAGTGACCTTGTGACTTTACTCAATAAAGTTTACTTTAGAATTTGCTGTACACTAAGCACTATAGACAGAAAAATGAACTATGTATTTGCCCTTGCTAGAGTAGGTCAAATAGGAAAGTTACTGTCTACTGATGTGCTATCATGTTCTTAAACAAAGTGCTGTGGGAGCCTGGAGGAGGGAGTGACTATCTCTGCTTAGAGGAATGGGGAGTGCTTCATAGGGATAACATTTGAGGTAACTTTATGAGAAGATCAGCAGAGAGAGCAAAGCAAGTGCTGAGTCTTCAAAAGTCATATTCTGGGAACAAAATGGAGATTCCATGTAGTCCCTGCATGGTTGTATAGACTAGTGGGGAAAGGAAGAATTGCTTAGAATAATTTGCTCCTTATTGTTGAAGTTTCCAGTTACTTTTATCTCCTTTTTAATTCTTAACCTTAAAACATACTAATGAATGTGTTTTGGAAGAAACCCTCCCAACAAGTATATATTTGTGAATATACTGTTTTTCAAATTCTTTGCTTTTGCCATAATCTATTATATCTACCATTTCATGTGTCCCCATGAATTTCCTTTGCTCCCCTTTTCTATGCCTAGTTTTATTTTATAGTATAGACTATATGAAAAGGAAAAAAAAAAACTGTCAGAACTTGTGCCATCCAAAGATTTACTCCCACACATACATATAGCAGCAATTTCCTTAATGTACCTTCCCAAGACCCAGAGGAAGGGATGAGGTTATCCTCTTTGTTTTCCTTGCATAAAGAATATAACTTTTTTTTAATGGATATAGACATGTGCATATTCCAAATAGTTAACATTTTCTGTGTGTTTCTATTTTTATTTGACTCTTTGCAGGAAGAGACCCTCCTAACAATTATTTTGAATTACAAAAACAATGTTTATTAAAGAATTTGAGGGGAAATGGGAAGATGGTGGCAGATGCTGGGCTTACCTCCTCCACATACAACTAGATTGAAGCAGAATAAAGCCAATAACTCCTGAAGGAAAACAGATGATTATAGCACACACTAGGTGTATTATCTGGAGGAGGGGGCCACAGTGAGCAGTGAATTAAAGAGGTAGCCCACACAGGCAGGCAAGGAAAGACCTAGCATTCCATTGGGTCCTGCAAGTAGAAGTGTAGAACTGGCAAGGCCCTTACATGGTAGCCCTCAGTAAATTCATTGAGCCTGGGCACCGGCCCTGGAAGCAGACCTGCTTCTGTAGACACCCTGCATACCTTGTCGAGCTCTGTGGAAGGTCCTGCAAGTGGACTCACTACACTAGGACTCTGCACACCCCAGCAAGCCCCAGTATGGGAACTGGATGCAATCCTACTGGCAGTAGTCCTGAGCAGAATTCAGTGAACTCCTGCACAGGACCTGGAAGCAGACCTGCTACTTTAGGCCCATGCATACCTTGTCAAAGTTCCGGGGAAGGTCCTAGAAGCAGACTAGCCACAGCAACACTCTGTAGATCCTAGCAAACCTTAGGATGGGACCTAGAAGCAGTTCTACCACTGGTAGCTCTTGGTAGGATTCAGTGATCCCAGGGACAGGACCTGGAAGCAGTCCTTGTAACTGCCAAAGGTGATAGATTAGTTTTTTTGTTTGTTTGTTTTTTGCTTTTGCTTTTATTTTTAGAATATCACTGTGAATTTATGGCTTTAATATGTTTGTATCATGTTGTGTGGAGTATCTGTCTACTGAATGGATATATTCATTCATCTTTACACTCATTGTGTACCATGTCAAAGATGGGAGCATGTTCAGTTTGTTTCCTGTGTCTACTTGATATTTTAGTAATTTTTGATAATGTCTTATACTCATAAATGATAAGATATCTGAGGCTCATCTTGATTCCATTCCCAGGAAACTCAAATGAGAAATAGTACTTACAATAAAAAAATTTTGTGGTTCTTTAGGATTTATCCTGTTAGAGATGTAAAGATAAAATGCCATGTTTTGAATTCAGTGGGGGTAATTCTTCTCTGTGTGATTATATCATCAAACTTGATACAATTTCATTTTTTTGTTTCTTTAAATTTTTTAATGTCTGTTTTTTTCTTTTTGATTTAGCTTTTTTCTTAATTATATAAAACAGTTCTATGGTTCCAGTCTCAAATCAGAGGCCTACTTTCATTTTTTATTCCCCTCTTCAGTTCTCTCCCTCCACACAATAGGTAACTACTTTTATTATTTTTTTGGTTTATCTGTCCACTGTTTCTTTGTGAAAATTTAAGGAAGTGTTTGTGTATATACATGAACATTTGCTATATATTCACTTAACATATATGTATATGCACACACACATAAATATAACCTACTTGTTCTAACACAAATGGTAGCATAATATCCATATTCTTTTGTATCATGGTTTTTAACCGACTATTCAGGGAGAGGTCACTACAAAGGAATATACTGAAATCTTCATTCTTTCACCTCAGCGTAGTAATTCACCAAGTGCATAAACTGTGACATGCATTCTCCTATTGATGAATATTTAGTTGTTTCCTGCCTTTATTCTTAGAAAATGTTAATGTTTATAGCTTTGTGCATATATTGTTTCACACTTTTGCCAGTTTATTTAGGATGCATTCCTAAAGTAGAAATGGATCAAGAACATAGGTCAGAAAGTAAAATGCCTTCATAAATGTGGATTAAAAACAGGCAATTTTTTTTTTTTTTAAATGGCTTGGAGAGAACCAATGGGTAAAAGTTTAGTGAGATGAGTTCAGATCTATACTGGAGAGTCGTGGACCACAGACTATGAGTGTTGCAGAGACAAACCAACACGTTCTTTCTTTCTTTCTTTCTTTTTTTTTTCTTTAAAGTGGTAACATCTACTTACATACAGTCTCTGAAAAGCTTAATTTCTTAAACTGTTATCAATACAGACAAATTTTCTGAAACAATGTTTTGAAGATTTGACAACTTACTCTTTTTTTTTTAAAATAATAAATTTTATTTTTATATTCCCCATACAATTGCAACCCCCCCCATTCTGACCCCAATCCCTCCCCTCCCGCCCCCCACCCCCCAAAAAGTGTCTCTGGTTCATAGTTTTTTGTTGATTTTGATTTTTACTTTCTTATAGTTATTCATTTTCCTGGTCTCTTATTTAAGTTTTCTAGAGTCCTGCTATGAGTGAGACCATCCGGTATTTTTCTTTTTCTTTCTGGCTTATTTCACTGAGCATGATCCCTTCCAGCTCCATCCATGTTGCTGCAAATTGCATGTGTTTATCTTTTTTGAATGCTGAGTAATATTCCATGGTGTATATGTACCACATCTTCTTGATCCAGTCATCTATTTTTGGGCATTTGGGCTGTTTCCAAAGCTTAGCTATTGTAAACAGTGCTGCTATAAACATAGGGGTGCAGGTGTTTTTTGGAATTGATGTTTCTGTGTCCTTTGGGTAAATACCTAGGAGTGGAATTGCTGGATCATATGGAAGCTCTATGTTTAGTAGGTCCAGAAATCTCCACACAGCTCTCCATAGTGGTTGGACCAGTTTGCACTCCCACCAACAGTGCAGAAGAGTTCCTTTTTCTCCACACCCTCGCCAACATTTGTTGTTGCTAGTTTTTTTAATATGTGCCATTCTCACTGGTGTAAGATGGTATCACGTGGTAGTTTTGATTTGCATTTCCCTGATTACAAGTGATGTTGAACATTTTTTCATATGCCTGTTGGCCATTTGCATTTCCTCTTCAGAGAAGTTTCTTTTTAGCTCTTCTGCCCATTTTTTGACAGGATTATTTTCTTTGTTTTTGTTGAGTCTCATCAGCAATTTGCAGATTTTTGTGATCAGTCCTTTATCATTAGTGTTGGGTGCAAAAATGTTCTCCCAGTTGGTGGGGTTTCTCTTTGTTTTTGTTATTGTCTCTTTTGCTGTGCAGAAGCTCTTTAATTTGATGTAGTCCCAGCTAAAAACAGGCAATTTTGACATGATGGTAAGTATTATATGATAAGGTTCTCCCCCCCCCTTTTTTTTTTTTAAGTCCTGAACTATTATCTTTGTCTTTAGTTTCTCAGTGTTATTAGGAGAAAGGGGTCTGGGAGTGATTTATTTATTGTACAGAAATTGACAGAGCAAGATGTGAGATTTTGTCCATAGTTCATACTTCTTTTTTTTTTTTTTTTTAAATGTTCAACATCACTTGTAATTAAGATTTGTTTACACAAGCACTGGGTACAGTCAGAAGCGCAGGAGGGTGAGAGAATTCACCAGAGCCAGAGCAGGAAGCAGAGCAGGCAGAAGGACGAAGTACACTGCTGAGGGGAGCAGCGGGCGGCAGGAGAGGTCTGCGCGCCATGTGGGACCCTCTCCGGTGGCCGGGGAGCAGCCGGGGATCGAACCGGTACTGCAGAGGCTGCGGGCAGCTTCGCAACCCAACGATCAACAACTGCGCCACCGGGGAAGCCCCATAGTTCATACTGCTTTAAGGGAATTTTCAGAAGCCAATTTACTTGGGTATAAGTGAACGTATTTAAAGGTATTTAATTTTATAAAGTTTTTAAAAAAGGTTTGTTCCAATTTATACTTCTAGCAATGAAAGTGAGATGGTTTTTACTTCTACCCCTTGTCAGTACTGTTTTTATTTTAATTTACATTTATTTGGTGTCTTAAAGATGATTTCTTTTTCTGCAAGTTCATAGTAAAGATATTTAACTACTATTTATCAGAGAAAAATAGTAAATAGAAAATATTTTTTCTAAGTCCTGTCTCTTTAAATTTTATGTCCTTAAATAAGTTGATTGCTTTTCTGTGCTTTCTTCTATTGTTTATGTTAGGAAATTCCTCTCTGCACAGGTTTGGTGAATAGTCAATTATGGGGGTTTTTTGGCCCTCTGGTTTAACTTTTAAAAGTTTTTTTTAGTCCTTTTGAGACTTAGTTGAATATTGGAATGAGATAAAGCTTTAAACTCTCTTCACCTTTCCACCAATCAGTTTTTCTAGTATAAAATGATAATTTCTATCCTGTTAATGATGTACACTCTAGAATATATTAAATTCTAATGTAATGTTTCATTGATAAGTTATTATGTATTTTAATAATAACCTCATAATTTATTATCAAATAAATCCTTTGTTTCTTATTTTCTGGGGAATGGAGTGAATTACATCTTGACTGAAGAATAATTATCACAATTGAAAGGTGTAGTATGGCAGCTTTGGCCTGGAGTATATCTTAGTAATTATAGTGTCAAGTAGTTCTTATCTTATTGGAGAGGAAGCTTAGAAACATTTAGGAAAGTTAATTATATTTTTGACAACATATTTTCAGTAATCGACTGATATTCTCTGCTGCAGGAGAGTGAGGTGGGAAGGTTTAGTAATTTTTTCCAAGTGATTTATTAGTGGCCTTTTCTTCCCTTGAACTTTCAAAAGAATGGCAAGGTCCAGCCTCTCCATTTTGCAGTTGAAACAATGGACTTTTGTGAGATATATTTTGTCTTAGTGATAGAGATTGGTGGAACTCTACTTTCAGAGTAATGGGTTTTTCCTTAGTTGGAAATACTAAAACAGTTTAAAGTATATATCTAGATACAGACTCATCGTGTTGTCAATGCTATATTCAGGTATCAGATTTGCTTAAAGTACAAGCAAACAACTCTATAAGGAAACTTCTGTTATTACTCCCATTTTAGAGATCAAGACACTGAGACAGAGAAGTTATGTGTGAACTTTCACGAGCTTTGCTAAATTCATAGACGTTTATCCTATTTTAACAGTGTATGTTCTGCTAATCTTGGTTCTTTAGAAAATTTTTTATAGATTTTTTATGTACATTTTTTATTTGCAGGTTGTGGTTGCTGTATTTTAAATAATATTTTATTACTATGTACAATATCATCTGGCTAGTTTCTCCATTCCTCAGATAGTTTATCACAAAACTTATTTTAGGGCTTTGATTCATAAAGAAGAATATTAAAAATGATTTTTTTTTTACTTTTTATGCAGAAATGAGAAGATGATAAATGTTAAGGCTTACCCCACATTTTGTGAATAATTTGCTTTATATTCCCATTAAAACTGCTTGAAGTGTTAGTTATTCTGTATTCTTGAGGTCAGGAAATATCTTATATAAGGCATAATGTCTATTTGAAGAATATTGATAGTATTTTTCTTTTCAGTAAGACTTGATTTATCAATGGATGCTTCTGGTTCAGAAATTAAAATTTAAAGAAATGCTTTCAACTTCTAGAACATTGAAAGACTTTATCTCTTTATTGCAGAAATGTAGACAACCAGCTTCCTGGGCAAGCTTTTCCTCCTGGATTCCCTATGTATCCTGCTTTCAGCCCACTGCAGATGCTGTGGTGGCAACAGATGTATGCTCATCAGTATTATATGCAATAGTGAGTTAATTTGAATTCATGTTTTTTCTCACTGTGTTATTTGCTTTACTTGCTTTTTCATCCTAAGTAAGTTGATTTTGGATTTCACTTACTGATGCATTTTATTGATCATTTAAAATTGTGAAAAGGCATTTGCAAACATCTCAGTAGTTATTTTATTTTAAATTATTTGACTAAAAGAAAATGAACTGACAACCAGTTCACGTCAACTAACCTTTTCTTGGCTTCTTCCTCATTCCCTTATAGTTAGCAGTATTCAGATGGTTTCTGTAGTATAGGATCTTATTTATTTGAAAGGAAAAAACTTAGGAAAGTTTCACTGGAAGGGGGTAAATCTACAAAAAGAAATAGGAAGTAGAATGAAAAAGGGAATAGATAAAAATATCTGTGGGACTCACATATTGATGTAGGATTCAGTTGTGGTAAATAATGCTATTTGGACTGTCAGTATTTTATAAGTCTTGCTTCTGATCAGCATAGAACATAGGACCCAGTACAGTTTCTCAGCCTTCACTCCTCTGGACTTCTTATGTATTCATTTAATATTTCTAGTTTCTCTTCAGTATTCTCCTCTATTTCTGTGAATCTGTTATCTTCTTCATTCTTTTTATCTTTCTGATAACACATTTTGTGTTTTTGATAACCCATCTTCCTCTCTTCTTCTAAACGGAAACATTCCTTGTTCAGTTTGACAGATGTTTCTGTATTTACTATGTGCCTCATGGCAATCATTCTGGTAGGAAAAACAGCATTCAGTGCTGGCCTGGTCCTTTTGGATTTCTGTCTTCTATGATCTTAGTTGTTTGCATTCTGTGAATGGATACTAATTCCTCCCGCCTGTGCTTTGTCCTGTACCACCACTTAATAATTGTTGGAAGATTTCCATAGGAAATTAGTCTTTCACCTGAATTCAGTATGTTTAAAATTTGACCCCACTGTCCTCTTAAGTCTGTCCTCCTTGACTTCTTGAGAGTGATGCTGTCTCTTTTTAATAATCCTGTAAGCTCTTAACCTTAATCAGCTTTGATTTTGTCTTCTCTTATCCCTGAATCCAGCAACTTACCAAGATGAATTAATAAGTTGTTTCTGTCCTCTCCAACAGCTTACTTCTAATATTGTGCCCAGATCTTTTCTCATTTTAGACCCATTTTACTGCAATTGCTCTTTGTCCTTTTAGGCTCTTCGCATGTTTTTATCATACCACTGCCAGGTTAACTTCCTTAATACATAATTGAGTCAGTCATTGCCCATCTCCCAAAATAGCTCATGACCCTCTTGTCTGCTGTGAAGTCTGTACACTTATCCTTCATCCAGGCCTTCCCCCATAAAACTAACCTGCTTTATGAACCACATGTGCCAGTGCTCTATTGCATAACACCTTGGTTTCAGGCAGACTGTATCTTGCCTGTTGCCATGGTACTAGCTATCATTAACATGACTGTTTTATGCTCTGTACTCCACTGGATGCTTTCTCATTTATAAGCCACATAAAAACTGTATAATTGGGGCTTATTGGTTTCTTGCTACTATATGTAAGTATATCATTTAACTTCTGAACCTTTAATATAAATCTGATTATCCCTGAGGCAGGCAATGTTTTAGAAACTAAAAAGCCATATGCGGAGACAAGGTGTTAGCATTTTTGCTTATAGAGAATGCCTTAGAAATTCTATTTCATTTTGCTCTTTGCTTCTGCTTTTCAAACTTTTTGTTGTAGAAAACTTTCAGCATATAAAAAGGTAGAAAATAAATAGTAAAATGAATACCTATGTAGTTGTCGCTAAGCTTCATGTTTATCAATTCATGTCAGTCTTGTGCTATAACTTCCTCTCTACGCTGGATAATATTAAGCAAATCCCTGATATATTGTTATTTTACTGGGAGCCTTTTATAGGAAAATTTATTCTGACTTAAGCAACCAAATAAGCAAACATCAGAACCACACTTCTTAAAAATGTTCCAGTTGGAATTCCTGAAAATCAAGATTGGGTTGAGGGCTTGTTATCTGGGATCTAGATAATATTTTAATATATTAATGCAGATCATTTATCACTGACTATAAGGATAGGGTAATAATGTAATTTTAAACAAATCTATTAAAACATGAGTCTGGGGGAGAGGTGGTGAGTGGGGGGGTATAATAAAAGGGACAACGAAGTAAAAAGATTTGGAGAAAGGTTTGGTTATAAGTAATTTTGTGAGAGAAAGATAATGATTACTATGGCTGTTTTTATCTCTTCCACCTCTCCCTTCCACCTTAGAATACCAGGCTAAGAGAACATACTTGCCCGAGCTGTTCCTGCCATCAGTCTTGGCAACTTTTCCACTGGGATTTGTGTTTATCTATGAGAAGTGGTGCAGATGTTGTGATATTCCATATTAGGCTTATGAAAAATACTTATGGCTCCCTAGGAAATTTTGGAAATATAGTATGACAAAGTTTTTTTTTTTAATTTTTATTTTGGTGACCATTTCAGTCAAGCCGCAGTTTCAGCTCAGGCCACATCAAATGCCAGCCCAGCCCAGCCTGCTGCTTCACAGCCGCTACATTTGCCACATGGTCCTGGAGAAGAGCCCCCACCAGCTCCAAACCTAGTTGCCCAAGAAAATCGACCAATGAATGAGAATGTTCAAATGAATGCACAGGGTGGTCCAGTGCTAAATGAGGAAGACTTCAATCGAGACTGGCTAGACTGGATTTACACATTCTCCCGAGCTGCAATTCTCCTTAGCATTGTGTACTTTTATTCTTCTTTTAGTCGATTTATCATGGTAATGGGAGCCATGCTACTGGTTTATTTGTGAGTGATATTCATTAACATTTTGTAAATTTCTTTTAATTACTTTCTAAAACTGTTAGCATAGACTCTGGGATATAGTAGCTAGTCTGTCGTGAATGTTGAGTGAAGAAATATGAATGTTGAGCTTTAGCTATCTTGCACCAAGAGCAAAGCAGGTTATGTTGAGTAAGAATGCTTATCAGAAATAATTGTTGGTAGCAGATTTTTCCTTTATTGTCTTTTATAGAAATTGATAATTTAATTAGACGTGTTCTGTCAATTTAGGAATTGAGAGAAATGTATGATGCACTTTTATGTAGTTTGTCCTTTTAAATTATAGTTATCAGTAGCAAGTCCTATAATTGTCAAGTTTTTCTTCATAATTAGACTGACTTTCCCTGCCTCCCTTTTCCCTAAGGAATGGATATCCATTTGAATTTTATTTTGTGAAATAGCCAAAAAAAACTTTATGATTTCTAACGTATCTTGGTACCTAATGTAGAGCCAGTTAAAACTATGATAGACTTTTAAAAAAGACTTAAATTGATTTCAGTTTTGCTGTCATTCTTTGAGAGGGATGAGTTCCTGGGCCTGACTTAGGAGATTTGGTTTTTTCATTTATTTGAGTTCTAGTTGTTTTTCTCTTGTAAGACGTTAATGTTTTATAGTGTTACAGGTAAAACAAGTTGTGACTTACTTTCTTTTCTCTTTATTTTACTGAACAGACACCAAGCTGGATGGTTTCCTTTTAGGCAAGAAGGAGGTCAGCAACAGGCTCCCAATAATAATGCTGAAGTTAACAATGATGGGCAAAATGCACAAAACCTAGAACTTGAAGAAATGGTATGTTGATGGGGTTTTTGAATGCTTTAAATTTAGATGTTTCCTCAGCACTGTGTGGGATCAACATAATAAGAATCTTGTCTAATAAGTGTTTAAGGAATGGTACATGAAGAAAAATGAACATTAAAATTTGATAGTTTCATTCAGGAGTACTTAGAATGTAACATATTAGAGTTAAGTGAGAAAAACTAACATTCTTCCTCAAAAAGCCTAGAAAGAAGATTATGCACATGGTGAGAATATACAATATTAAATTGAGTTATCCTTTGGATGTGAATACTGATAAATTTGTCAAACTTTGGATTTGACAAAGATTCTAATAACTACATGTGTATCACTTCCATGTTACATACTCATTTCCCTTCTTTTTTACAGCAAAAAACTTAACTCTCCTTTTTTTGTCATGAGTTAGTGATAGCTGTACAAATCACTTAGGAGACTATTTCTTGTTTTGTTTGAAAGGAACGACTTATGGATGATGGACTTGAAGATGAAAGTGGAGAAGATGCAGGTGAAGATGCCAATGCAATTCAAAGGCCTGGATTAATGGCATCAGCTTGGTCTTTTATCACCACCTTCTTTACTTCACTGATACCAGAGGGACCTCCTCAGGTTGCCAATTAGACCTGAAAAACTGTATCAGCTACAAAGGGAGGGCCTGACTTTAGGAAAGTATTTCAAATAACAGTGCATTTTCAAAAAAATCTATTACTTTCTTTTCATCATCATGTACAGAGGTGTGTTTTTTCCTCTAAGCTTCTTATGCATATGAATATTTTAAGCACAATGGACTACTAAATGTGTGATTTTTTTTTGACATCCTAACAGAACAGAGTATAACAATTTTGATCTTCCAGGTTTTATTAATTTCAATTATGTGTATTATGTCAAGACAGACTTATTTGTGTATCTTATTTCTTTAAAGAGCTGCTTCACATATAAATGTCTGTAACTAGTAGCCCAGCCCTTCAATGTGTAATTTGAATAAATATATCTATTTTCTGGGAATTGTTCTAAAAGTTTGAAACAAATGACCTCATAGTTTTTAATAAAGAACATTATTTACCTGAAATGTGCTAGTAGCTTCTTGCCCAGCCATAAAGCAATAAAACTTCTCAGTAATTTAATTTTGACATTTGAATAAATAATGAAACTTTCTATTCCAAGGGCATATATCCCATCAATTGGAATTAGTACGTAAAAAAAAAAAAAAAGGCAGCTCTTTAATGGAATTAATAGAGATAAAATGTTTGATACAGGAAGTACTTTTATAAAATAAGAAATGCTGGAAATCATTTTCTGTAATTTTTTTTAAATAAAAGGTCAATTATGGTAAGCTGTCTTATGGAATATTTGTTTAAACTCTCTAATAATGTACACCCTCAATGACTGTGACTCAAAAGGGTTAGTGCTGTTGCACTTTATTATTTTTAGCACTAGATGGTGGTGTAACACCGTATTATTTCTACTGCCATGGCTTGCTGAGGAATTTGCTTCAGAGTCTTGGAAGTGAAGACTGTGACTTTCTCTACAGTGCCCACTGGGGCAACTGGCCTGGTGGGCATCCAGAGGCAGAAAAATGCTTGTTGGAATATTATTAATAGTAACAAAATATGGGAAACAATACAAATGTCCCCAAAAAAGGCATGGTTGGATAACTGAGGTGTATCTACTCAGTGGAATGTCATGCAGTCTGCCTAAATGATGGTTGTAACCTTAAAAATGCAAATGGTCTTTTTTTTTTTTTTTTAATAATTGACCTCTTATGCATCCATTCGTAAGAACCTGCTGCAGGATGTGTTTCTAGCAGAAAAGAGCAGGACTCCAGACATTTGTGTTAAGAGTTACAGGCAACTTTCTTTATTTTTTTATTTTTATTTTTTTATTTTTTATATCATTGTTCATTTTTAAACAATATTTGCTCCCCCCCACCAGGTGTAGTCCCCATAGAATTTCCTTCACCAATGCATCCTTTCAAAAAGCTATACTTACTATGCTCATGGACTAACAAATAATAAAGAGTAAATTTTTAAAAAGGATTCCATTACTGGCATCAGGAGGTCCTTCAGTGGAGAGGAAATCTTCAGGGTGATGATGAAGGAAGATCTCAGGATGGTGGTCACTGTATATTGACAACTGAATTCTTGTGACCCAAGGACTAAATTTCCTGGCAAGACCTAGCCAAAGCCTTTTCAGCACTTGTCTTAACTATGTGCCATTAAAGTTTCTATGCAGCTTCTCTGAGGGCTAAGAGAAGATTGCTGTGAATTTAGAAGCAAAGATGCAAAGCAACCTCTTCCTCCCTCTACAGCTATTTCTGATGACCATTCCATACATGGTCCAAAGTACAGTTCTGTTAAATGCTCTAATTTGTTGGCCCTTATGATCCAAGACTCATTCATGACCTCAATCATTGACACTCCCAGAAAGGGCTCTTGCGAATTCTCAGGGCGGCTGAGGCCAGACTGTGACTCAGACACTTTGTTATCTTCTTTTAAGAGCTGTTATTCAATAGAGTCTGTGTTATCCTTCTCTCACGGTTAGGTTTATGCTTCCTAGTCAATTTTTGTTTATAAAGAAAAGCAGTGAGGGGATTAACCAAAAGTCAAGAAGGGTAAGTTCTTGGGAATGAGCACTGTGGCAGCGGACATATGTGATGGGCAGTATTATTTGGATAAAAAGGAAGGCCACATTTGCCAACCTCTTTTATAGCAAAGTTGTGGCCAGTTGGCTGTTTTCACCAAAGAAAACAGGTCACTTCTTGAGAAAAGCAGATATGAATTTGCTATGCCTTCTCGTATTTGCAATACTTGATTAGAACAGCAATAATAACAACAACAAAAACTAACAACCATATAAAATATTAGAATTATATGATGGAAACAACCTAAAGTCTTAAGTTACTGTTGGAGGTGTCAAGCAGGGTTCCTGAGCAGGCATAGACTGATGCCAGTGAGAACAAGTGTGTGTGTGTATTAAACTAATGAGGTTATGAGATCTGTAGCCGCTACAGTATACTAAGGGAACTTCTAAAATAGTCATAATATCCTACATTGCATGATGCGTACTTGGGTTTTAATTTTATTGTTATTATTTTAATAGCACATATTTTATACCTTTTCTGTATGTATGAGATAGAAGAAATACAAGAAATTAAAGGTATGTGTGATATATTTCACAATATTTAAAGTCACCTTCTTCTGTATATTATGACCATCTATCTTAAGTTGAAAGTCCACTCAAGCTGTTATATATAGGAGTATAAATTGGAACTGTATTTTGGAAAAGCTTTCTGTAATATAGCAACAACTTAGATAATATTCTTTGAAAAAGTAGCTCTACTTCTAAGAGTTGAACATATGGATAAAATCCTAAATATTTTATGCAGAAAGATGCTCATTGCAGTATTGTTATTAGTAGTGGAAAATGAAAAGAAAAATCATGGTTTGTTAGTGTATTAATTAAGGGAATGTCATGCAGCTTTTCTAAATGATTAATATTGTAAAGAATATATTGAAATCTCAAAAATGCATATGATAGGCTAGATGAAAAAGAACAGGATAATGGATAGTAAAACGATGTAAAAAAATTCATGAAACAAAAATATATGTGCCTAATTCCTATCAAGCCTATCCTATGCCTCAGTGTTAGGCATGATGGGTGAACTTCATAGATTTTAGAATGACTTTTTCCTGTGTTTTAAAATGATTTTATATTTTCTAAGTTTTCTAAGTAGTGCAATATTTTTATTGTTTTTGTTCAGAACTACATTTTTACTGTTTAGGATCCAGAAACTACTTAAATGTTCTGAATGAAGAGATAAAAGTGCTCCCTAAGACTCCTCCTACAGTATCCATTCCATGAAATACAGATTTTAACATTTTACTAGATATTGTCCTGGATTTTTCCTATGGCTTTAAATATGTCCATTATATCTTCATCTTAAGTTTTTCTGCACATCTATATATCTGTGTCCACACAAAGACACAAGTACAAATCATTTCAAAGTAAGTGAACTCACATTGTTATATATACATTATTATATAACTTGCATTTTATTCACTTAACATGCTTTGGATTTATTTCCATGCTGGATAATTTCAGTTGTAATTTGTTATTAAATAAATCAAAAATAAAGTAAAAAAAATAATTTAGACATAATCCAATGTATGCACTTTATGTTTAGGAGGAAAAAAGCGTAAAGTTCTAGATGACATGTTTCCTCCTAGATTAGTTTTTAAAATTCAAACACAGATTTACTAAATATGATTCAATTCAGCAATACAATTTGAACAATTGAGCACAGCTGTGTGTGAGGAGTGAGGAAAGAATGAAGAGTCAGGGTCATGAAGGGGTTAGGGACAAGGTCCATTCTTGTTTAGGTGCTAGATTGTAACAGATAGAAGTGGCTAACTCTTTCTCAAAAGAATGAGAGATGACCTCTAAAGTTTCTTCCATTCTTTCATCATCTGGAAAGAAATGACAAAATTTTTCTGTTATTATAATGCTTCTTTCTTCCCAAGACTTTCCAGTCATCAGGGCTTTCTCATGAAGACAGAAGAGTCATGGATGAAGTCTGTTTCTAAGAAGGGAGTTAATAAGCATATCTCCTTTTTTCCCACTGAAAAACCAAACCACTCTCCCTTAGCATGGTAAATTCAAACCTTCACTTTCTGTTGTTTACTCTCTGTTAAGCCTCCATGTCTTAAAGCAGGAAGACATTTTGCCATTTCTCAAACATCTTTCTTGCCTTACCACTATTTTCTTTTGGAAGGCTGCCAGGGTGATGGAATTTGAGATCACAGACAGGATGGACAAAGAAAGGTACAAGAAAGAGGTAAAAATGTCCTTAATGAGCTCACGTATCTTGATGAAACCTCTAATTGAATGAGAATAGATTTTGTTGAGAAGCTTGTACATGAACAATTAATTATTCATGGCAGAGGCATCATTAGGATTTCATTTTATTTAAAGGCCTCTAAGTGATTTACGAAATTGGGTTAAGCAGGAGAAGAATTTCAAGAAAGAGACAAGGGAAAGCTTTTCATTATATTGACTTTTTCTAATATTTTCAAGATAGATATTGTGACTTGACACATAAATTACACTCCAACTGAAAATCTTCAATGATTTGCCTGGGCAGAGTATTTACATGGGTGGACCTGGGCTAGGGTATTCAGATGGAAGCAGATTGACAGAGTTTTGTAAAAACTAGGACATTTATTCCAGAAATCTATAATAATTCAATTTGAGTTTTGGTTGCATTGGGAGTGTGAGGAGTCTCCTTGAGATGACAACAACCAGTGACACTTGTACTCAATGATACTTTCCCCAGGGTTCTCTGGGAGGTGAGCACTTGCTTGTTTACAATAATTGGAAGATCAGATACTAGTAAAACCACTAGAGATCTGGAAACTTATAGTTCCTATGGCCTGTTTAGCTTCAAAACAGGTATTAGATTTTGGTATCAGATTGAGTTTTCAATATGGTATTGATTCCGAATATAGAAGGCTAGGGTAGTTTAATAGACAGCTGTTACATACTGGATCAATTTCAATGGGCAATTTTCAAGAAATGTTGGTTGACTTAATTCAAGAGTTTTTTTAAATCTATTTTGTTTGTATTTGTATTCCAAATCCCTAAGACAATGCCTGGCACACAGGAGGGGCTCATAAGTATTAGTTGTTGAGACATTTGAAGTTAATTAGTAAATCAGGGCATGTTTGTGTGGGGAACATCACATCCACCAGGGATTGCAAGTGGGGGCATAAATTGGTAAAAGGTATACTTCTTTCCTGTTTGGGAACTAAATAGGCAATAATAACTTTTGGATAGCATGCGTTAGGGTGAGCACCCTAGGGCAGCAGGGTGGAGTGGTAGTGAGGAAAATGGTGCTGACTGGAGTCAAGAAGCATTGGGTTCAAGGTTTTTGCTGGGTCCTGGGCCAACAACCACATCAATAGTAGCCACACTGCCCATATGGAAGATCTATATGTTGTGGTAGGAGAGAAAGAATCAATAAACAATGAATACAACAAATACATTCTACACCCTGGTAGAAGGTGATAAGTGCTAGAGAAACTTTCTTTTCAATAGCGGTAGGCCTGATGTGATTTTATTTATGAAAACTTACTTGACACATTTTCAGAAACCTGTTTCATGGAAAACAAGCTCTTCCAATAGCTTTATGTATTTTCAGCAATACATTCTTACAATCACTACCTGAGGGTGAATTCTTCAGAATTCACCCAGCTTCCATATGAAGGTAGCTCTAGTTTTAGTAGCCAGCTTTGCCCAGCAGCTCTCATTTAATATCATGACCAATAAAATATTTTTGTGTTTACCTCTGCCTCT